GTTGTAAAGGGGCTTGTAAAACACCGCGTTTAGTTGCAGGAACTCCAGACCCAGTGTCCCCCCTAAGGGCAGCCCAAGCCGGGAAGAGCAGCTCTGATTTGAAATGCTCCTGCAGCCTGAAGCCAGCCATGGAGCCACCAGCTGCTGCTCTGTGTTTTCTGCTTGTGAGAGTTGTGAGAGCCGTGGTGCCGCTCACCTGTTGCAGTGGTGTTGTCCCTGTTGTATTAACAACAAGGACGAGCAAAGGAAAGCTGTCAGTTTCTCTGACCAAGCCTTTCTCAGCCTCTCGGTGGGGGTGGCTTTGTTACAAGATCATCTCTGAAACATTTTTCTCATTCTGGCCCACATTCTCCTGAGTTAGTGCTGCACTAGGAATTTTCCAGCCATTGTGTGGTTGTGACATGGAATTTTGCTGTCTGTGTGGTATAAATGGTTGAAGATGTCACGGGATGGCAAAAACCTGACGTATCCTTCTGCGAGCTCTGCCACCTTTTAAAGCCATGTTTCACTTCCCTGCATTGTAAAATAGAAGTTTTGCCTGAAGTCCCCGTGTCTCACTTCCCTGCACTGTAAAATAGAACAAGTTTTGCCTGAAGTCCCAGTAGCAGGAGGCTTACAGGGACCTCCATGTAGTAATTGTGCCTCCAGTGAGGCAGAGGAGTAAGGGAAGGTGAAGAAGTAACTTCTGCTCTGTGTGCTTGCAAACAAATATGTGAACGATGTGCCAAGCAAAATGGGGAGGATAAGGCTGCTTGGAGAAGCTGGCAAATGTGGGTGTGCGTTTATCACTCCACGTGTGTCCATCTGTGCTCTGGCCACCCTGCTAGCTCAGCATGACATGCAGCACTAAGGATGCTGCTGACTGAAATAACCCCTTGAGGCTGTCCCAGCTCTGGGGGCAGCCCCAGCATCCCCCCAGTGCCAAACACAGCTCCTGAGCTCTGGAATTCTGCAGCCACCCCCTCCTGTCCCCTGTGCAGCTCTGGCACAGGGGGGCTTTGATCTGAGCACCACTAACCAGGCCAGCGGGCTGCACTCTGTCTGAAAGCTTTAGAAAATTCCTTTTGTAGTGGCTCCTTTCCATGACCACAGGCAGCACCTAAAAGGGAGGGGAGGAAACAGGAGGCATCAGAGCAGAGGTCAGAGTTCCCAATTCATCCCCTTCAGGGGTCCTGGCACCACCGGGTGACTGAAGCAAGGAGGGAGGTGGGAGGGAAGTGTTCAATTTGAGCGGGCTGAAACAACAATAATGAGCTCCACATGCATGTCCTCAGTGCCTGCTGTCCCACCAGCCCAGAGCCCCTGCCCCCCTTCATTCACCTGCTCATTGCTGTGTGATGTGCTCTGGCATAAGGAGTTGTCATCAGGAATACTGGAAAAATGCCACTTGGGACCTTCCAAGAGACATCCACGTGCTGCGGTGGTGAAGGGACGTTTGCTTGGTTAAAGACCTGGGATAAACATTAATTTAGTTGTATAATAAATTAGTTGAGTTAGTTCTCTATTTTCTGCTGGTTTAATTTGACATTATAGAAGGCTTCAGAAAAGGGAGTTCACTGACTTCTAAACATGATGGTCTTAAAATGTCAATAATCATTAAGTTTTCTGAAGTAAACTGCCTTAAAGACACTTATGGTGGTTTTGGCACAGCTTGTGGGAAGGCTGTAAACCTTTTCAAGGAGTTTCCTTTGCTTTATTCAGGGCTTTTTGGCAGGAGGCTGCATTTCCAACTGTGGGGGGCTTTTCAGTCTGGAAGGATGTGAGGCACAGCCAGGCTGAGGTGTGCTGAAAGGGACTTGCCCTGGAGGTTTGCTTCCCTTGTCACATTCACTCCTCAGTGTGGGCCAGCCCTGCTTAATGATAATGTCTGGAGGATAAGGCAGAAGAGAGATCATAGATTTCTTTTTTTTAAGCTTTACTGGAGGTGCTGTCTTCCAACACAGACAAGCCTGCAAAGGCAGAGCTGTGTGCTCGTGTTGCCCATCCCACCCTGTGCCTGGGGGCTGTTCCAGAGCCAGCAGGGATGGTGCTCTGCTCCTCAGGGGGGGGCAGGGCTGCAGATTATTGTTGCAGATTAGGATTGTAGCAGTGAGGCTGGTTACTGGCATTAATTACAGCAATTACAGACCTCAGAATTTAAGAATGTGCAATAAATTTGGGTGATTTCTAGGCAGTGCTGCTTGTGCCTTCCTCAGAAGCCTGTTCACAGCACTGAGCTGTCCTTGCCAGTGTGGGCACTGAGCAGAGCTCTGCCCTGTCACTCTTCCAGGTGTTGACAACAGATGGAATCTGAAGCTGTTTCATCCCTGAATGTCTCAGAATTCTCTTTTGATACGCTGCAGTGTCAGTGACCATTTGTGCTGGTATCTCTGTATCCCATGGCCTGTCTGGTGTGTGGCAGAAGGGATCTGGCTCAGCCCTCAGTGCTCCAGGTGACAATTGGTGCTGTACCTCTCTGTAGGTGTCTCTTCTGGGTTTGCACCTATGATAGTGTTGGATTTCAGTGGTTTAACTGGGTGAAACCACAGGTTTGGAACAAGTTGTTGCCCCCAGGAAAGACACGTGGTGAGCCAGCCCCTGAGCAGCTGATCTGCAGGGACAGCCCTGGGAGCAGCTTGCAACAGGCACTTTGTCTCAAACAGAACTTTTTACACCCCATTTCCTGCCCTTTTTACCTCATCCCCAGCAGCCCTGTGCTCCCTGTGGCTTTCTGATAAATCAGGTGAGGGGAGCTGCTGTTGGGTTGCGGCAGGGCCAGATAAACTGGGACAAAGCCACCTGTGTCCCCTGAGAGAGGGGCCAGCAGGGTGCCCAGTTGGTCTGTATGCTCAGGGGAAACTTCAAAGCTCCCAGTGCCCTGAGCAGGATCAGGCCTGCAGGTCCCTGGAAGCTGCCCCTCATTCAAACCTCCTCCTTATCTCTCTGCAGTTTGCTCTGATAGTGGCAGTTTTATGTTCTCTGAGCTGCCCTGCAGCTCCCTGTATTGCTGAAGTTCTTCCTTTGGCCATACCTCTGTAGTATCCACCCCTGAACTGCTCTGGCTACCTGCAATCTCTGCTAAGCCTGCTGCTCACAATTGCTTTTTAATTAAAATCCTCTTGCTGATGTCAGAACTTCCCTGTAGAGAACCTGACACAATGTGCAGGAGCCTGAGCTGCTCTAAAACACAAATAGCTGGAAATGATTCTGGTCAGGTTTGGGTTTGGCTCTAATGAAACTACTAATGAGCACCTGGTGCATCAGAGAGCCTAATCCCACTTTGAACAGCAAACCTGCTTCAGCTGTGGATGTGTTCCCAGCCCAGCAGGGACAACAGCAGCATTATGAATGTGGAGCAGCTGATCCTCATTTTTACTCAGCTTGAGTTGACTGTCTCCCATCAATGTGAAGTCTGGGTTCAAAATGGCTTTTACATCTGTGGCAAGAATTTAAAGTATGAAAGTACTTTATTTTTTTTTGTTATTTATCCCTGTTTTGTGACCTTGCCTCACTTTCCCCCCCCACCTCAGCGTTGTGCTGAAATTTCCACACAACCTGTTGCACCGGTTCCCATTAAAGGTTTGAGCTTGGAGAGTTGGGTCAGTTTTATCTGGTCTGCTCTCCCTCCTGGCTCAAAGCATGTCCAAACCAGCCTTGTGACCTCTCTGTACACTGAGTGCTCCCTGCATCCATGTCAGGCTTACCTGGATGGCTTCAGCTCCCCTTTTCTTTGGCCTTGTGCTTATCCATCTTTATTTTCACATCTCTGGAGGAAAATAATTTAAAAGTGTTTTTGTTCAGGATAACTTGTATTGCATTATTGTCTGTAAGTAACAAAGCACGTGTAGTGGGGAATAATGCTGTGAAATCTTTCATTTGCACTGAGATTGCTCCAGAGTTTGGAGGATCTGGAAAATCCCGTGCTCTGCAGTGGCCCTGCCTTGCCTCAGCCTGGGTAGGAAGGGGATTGCCTGTCTTGAGATCTTGTACCTGGTGCAATATTAACACTGGCTGCAGCTGGGGCAGACAAGGGCAGCATTCCTGCCTGGGGATAACTGTGCCTTTAAAAGGAAAACTGCCTCTAACACAGCTCCCTTCCAGGCTGTTTGTAGCGGCAATTCAAGTGACACAACAGTGGCTCCACACAGCAATTTGCCAGTTTTCAGGGGGCTTTGCAGGTTTCTTTGAGCGTGGGTCAGATTCATTTGTCCATTAATGAGAGAGAAAGAATTGCCCCTAACAGCTCAGGGCTTTGTCTGATCCTGCTCAGGAGGTGCTGTTGAAGTTGTGGGGTTGTTTTCTCTGGCAGCGTGTCCATGGAGCTGACAAAGCCACCCCAGGCCACAAAAGCAAGGCAGAGAAGTGGTGGCAGTCCCTGGCCAGCTGACAGCTGGGGCTGTCCCTTTCTGGCCTTGCATTGCAGCATCAGCAGCAAAAGGAACTTGGCTGCGAGACTGAGCTTGAAAATGCAGCTGAAAGAGCTATAATGCAGCTGAAAGAGCTATATTGTGAGCTGAATAGGTGGGCAAGAAACACACTGCAGGGAGCTGGGCAGAGGAGCTGCCAGTCTGAGACATGGCATGGAAATGACTGAATGGTGCTGGGCAGGGGTATGTGAGAGTGGCAGCCCCAGCACAGGAGCTGCTGGCCATGGAGTTGGAGCCTCTGCTCTCCATTGCAGTGCAGCTTCTCCCTCAGACGCTCCTGCTTCTGGTAACCTTTGAGTCTGGGATCCTTTGTCCACATTCATTGCATATCTGAAATTCAGGAGGGATGCTGCTCTGGGCAGCCCAGATTCTACACTGTGTGGTTGTGGTGGTTTTGAGCCTTTTCATGTATCTTTTTGCATCTGCACTTTAAATTTGTGCAAACAACATGTGCTGTATCTTGATTGGCATTAGCAGGCTGCATTTTCTGAATTGAATGACACCCTCTATTTTCTGAATTGCTGTGATACGTGACTGCTCTGCACCACATTTTTCTGGCCAGGATTAAATGTTGTTTTTTGTGCTTTCTGCCAGGGCCAGTACTGTGACATCTGCTCCTCTGCAAACAGCAACAAGGCCCACCCCATCACAAATGCCATCGATGGGACCGAGCGCTGGTGGCAGAGCCCCCCTCTGTCCCGGGGGCTGGAGTTCAACCAGGTCAACGTCACCCTGGACCTTGGACAGGTAACACAAATCCTTTCTTCTTTGTGTTGGTAAGGAACTGCTTTTCTGCTTCTAAACTCCTTTAGTGGACCTTGCTGGAGGTGTGGAACAAAATCCACTCATTTAATGACAGGGTTAAGTTTGGTTAAAATAGAGAAGGGAAAGCTTCTTGTCTGTCATATTAACTACATTGTGCTCTTTGTTGTTATTATTTAGATCTTCCCTAAAAGCTGAGTCTCCTGTGGAAACTCATTAGGTTATGCAGGTACCATTCGCTTTAGAGGGTACCTCCCTCTCAAAGGGGGACACTTAGCAAGGCCTCACCCCAAAATGGGAAAATGCAGCCCTGAGAAATTCAAGGCTCTAAAACTTTTAACTGGTGTGTTTACAACTTTTTAAAAAAACAGCCAGTCCCCGCTGAAGGTCTTCCTATAAAAGACAAAGGGTGATAGTGGATGTTTGCTCTCTAATGGTGGCAAGGCAGAGAAGTCTGTGGGATGGGGCAGTTTTGGAGCTCACCTCTCCCCCAGCAGACCTGTTTGTTGTGGTTGCTCAGCAGCCTTTTGGGGGCTGAGTCACAGCCCCTTTGGGAGTTTGCTTTGTTTTGTAGAGATTTTGAGATTTTTCAGATACCAAAACTTTACAGTGACTTCACATGTGGATATTTCACTCTCTCTGCTAGAGTCAAGGCTCACTTGTCAGTGCAGTTTGCACAGTGTCTGACTCCAAATTTACATCCAGAGATGGCCAGTCTGCATTGATGGTGTACCCTTCAGCTAGGTGCCTCAAACACACACTTGAGTCCCCAGGACTGGCTCTGCTCTGCTCCTTGCCTTGCTGTAGCACTCGTTTGGAGTCTGCCAAACACCCTTCATAAATCTGGTCTCTCCATGAGTGCCAGCTGCCTCAAGCTGTGCTGTACCAGCAGCAGTGAAATCTCTGCTGCTGACCATGGAGTTTGAGCCTCTGCTCTCCATTGCAGTGCAGCTTCTCCCTCAGACACTCCTGCTTCTGGTAACCAGTCCTTTGAGTCTGGGACCCTTTGTCAGTGTTCTGCATATCTGAAGTTCAGAAGGGATGCTGTTCTGAGCAGCCCAGATTCTACACTGGGTGATTGTGAGGGTTTTGAGCCTTTTCATGTACTTGTTGGCACCCACACTTTAAGTTGATGCAAACAACACGTTCTGTATCTTAATTTGCACTAGCAAGCTGTATTTTCTGAATTGAATGAAACCCTCTATTTTCTGCATTGCTGTGATACCTGACTGCTCTGTCCCACGTTTTTCTGGCCATAATTACATGTTTCTTATAACCTCCATTGCAGTGCAGCTTTGTGTGGGCAAAGCCTGCTGGAGCTGAGCCCTCCCCAGCAGAGGTGGCATCTGCTGTGTCTGTCTTTTAGAAGCATCCCAGCTGGCAGGGATGTGCATGGCTGTGCACTCACTCCCCTGTGACCAAGGGCCAGCCTGCAATGGAGCTTCTCCTCCTCTTGTCCCTGTCCCTGGCAGCTCTCTGGCTTTGGGCCAGAGCTAACCCAGCTGCCCAGTGTGCCTGCAAGCTGCTGGGCTTGGCTCACCTGGGGGTTTGCAGCCTTCAGAGCTGCTCTGCTGGGAGCCAGAACCTGGAATAATATGGGAGGACTTCAGTGCTGTTAAAACTGAGCTGGTCTACGTTGACATTCTCTCTCCTGAGTCTGTTTGCACCATCATGTCTGCAGGACTGATATCAGAATTTGCATGTGTGGTGCTGGTGGCAGATGCTTCACCTGGTGTGAAATGTTTCTGCCATTTTCTCTGGGCTCACAGACCCTCTGCTTCCCTGTCACCTTTGCAATACATGATAAACCCAGCTGGTGCCAAAAGCAGCATGAGCCTAAATAAATCTTCAGCTGGTTTTAGTGGCTTCCCCTTCATACACGGCCTCATTGCATGTAATTGCTATAATCACCTGTTTGTGCTCCTGGTGAGAGTCAGTTCTTTGCTTTTAACTGCTTTGTTTTGGTAGGTCAGGCAATAGAAACAGATTAAATGTGAGAGAATCGCCAATTTCCTCCTTTTGAAGTTGACTCTGGTTGAAAGGATAGAGGAGAGGGAAGTTCTTGGGCCCCAGTGTGGTCAGCAGGGCAGGTGCAGGATCAGGCCATGTACCTGGCAGCCAGGCTTCCCAAATTCCTGGGATTCCAGTGAGAGCTGCACAGGTAGCAACGCCCTCCTAGGTGTGTCTGACAGCAGGGCATTTTTTTTTGGCTGGCAAACAAAGCCTCTCCTTGCTCTGTGTATCAATCTAGAGAGCCCTTGGACCAATTAATGTTTAATTTAAAGGACTCACAGCCCCTAAAAGCCTTCATCCCTATGGGGGCTCATAGTGCCTGGGGTGCTGATGGCACTGGGGGCACCCAGGGCTGGCACAGGGTTGTGGTGTCAGCCCCTTCCTTTGCTGCTCTGCTTCCCTGCTGCCTCCATCCCTCTCCAGCCATAATTACCAGCTGGAATTGGCTTTCTCCAGCCTTTGGCAAGGCTGTGGCAATTGGGAGAGGGGCAGTTCATTAAGCAGCCTGTTGCTCTTTGCTTTTTGCTGGCTGGGAGCTTGCTCTCCTCACAGGGAAGGAGAGAAGGAGGAATATTCACAGCCAGCAAATGAGCTCCAGGATGGCTTGGGCTGGCCACCCAGCTGGTGTGAGGACATTGAACACTCTCCTCACAGCCTGAGCTTAATGCCTTCATCAGCAAGGTGGGTCAGGGCTCCCACCATGGCTGGGGAAGGGGCTGTGTGCAGGTATCTGCTGGGGTTTGGATGGAATTGCTCCTGCTGGTACCTTGTCTGTTCCTGCCTCCTTGGGGAGGAATGATTCTTCTTGTCAGAATTGGTGGGGGAGAAAGGAGGAAAAGTCTGTTGAAGGTTTCCATGTCTGAGTGCCAGAAAGATGACAAACAGCTCCAGGGAGGAAAGTCAAATGGATTTTAGGAGTATGGAGAGGGAGTTGTGTTTTTTTTCCTTGCTTTTAATCATGACCTTGTGCTTAGTATATTTAGGATAAATGGCTGGGCCCCTGCATGAATTTGGTGTAAAATACATCATGGCACCATGTGAAGCACAGCTCAGGTTTTGGAGTAGAACTGAGAAGACGCTGCTGTCACTGGACAATCTGGATTTGTCAAAATCCCAAAAGTGGCTGTCCTGCCTGGCTTGGAGGGCAGAGGTCCATGCTGTGGTGGAGGCTCCTAAAGCTGCTGTGCTGCTGCTCAGCTCCAGGCTCTGCTCCTGCCTGGATTCTCCAGCCAGCTGAAATGGGAACGTGCCTCTGCTGCAGAGGGACAGGACACCGTGACTCACAGCCACCATGGGAACTGTCCCCTGTGATCCTGCTGTGATTAAATGCCACAGTGGGTGGAGGGGGAGGAAGGGGTGTGATGGAAGATTCTTTTTTTTTCTTTTCCCCCCCACCAAAAAGGTCGTTTGAGTCAGAGCTGACAAGGTTTAGGGAAACATGAATGGCTGGCTCCCTGCCAGAGCCTGACATCTTCCTTGCATGAAGGTGAAGCCAGGCCAGCCCTTCCTTGAGATGTTTATGGATAGTTGGTGCTTTATGATAAACTCCGGGGGAGGAATGCTTGCAGTCATGCAAGAGCAGGAGCTTCGTGCCAGTGCTTGCTTGGGGTTAATTCCTGCAGTGGGAGGGTGGCTGGGCAGCAGCTTCCATCTCCTCTGCTGGCCCTGGAGACCCCAGAGAGCAGCAGGATTCCAGAGTGAAGCTGTGCAGAGAGTTTTGGGTGATACCCCAGAGGTATTTAGTTGTCTGACAGAAACACTGACATCCATTCAGTTCTGCGGAAGAGAGAGGAGAAGCCTCCTCCTCTGGACACCTCCAGAACTCCTTGAATGCAGCTCCCTTTGGGCTTAGAAGCAGGAAAAGGAGTTGCATTTATTGACAATTCACAGAGGTGGAAAGGAAATGAAAGAAATTGTGAGCCACACTCCAGGGCCCGTGCCACGGTGGGGTTTGTACTCACTGGGATGTGTCACAGCAAGGGAGTAATTGATAACTTTTGGGGTGCTTTGAGAAGAACCTCTTGAGTTTTCCAGTAATTGCAATGGGATCTGCCAGAGCTGCTGCATTTTCTGGCCTCTGAACAGGTTAACCTGTGCTTGCCAGGCTCTCCCAGCTCCAGAGTGAAGGTGTTGATACACAAAACACACCAGGTGCTTCAGCCCTTGGCAGCAGGCTGCTGGTCTCTCAGTGTGAGACTTGGCTCTAAAGGAGCTGGGTGTTTTTCCTGTGGTGGATTTTCAGGACATAATCCTGCTTCCTTTGCCTTTGGCACTGCAAACGTGGCCCCTCGGGACCAGCTTTGCACAGTGGTTTGATGTGCAGGTGTAGCTAAAGGGCTGGCTTGCATGGACAGCTCAATCCTTGCTGTGAGCTGTGTTCTTGTTAATGAGTGTTAAATTCTTGCTCATCTTTGGGAGATCTGGACTGGGTTAGATCTGGCCTAATGCTAAAGCACCACCATTGATGCAGAGTATAGTACCTTGTGTGTAAAACACTAAAATTTTATTCACCTCAATTTCTCACCTCCCATTTAGTTGAAATAGTGGTGGGAGCTGCTGGTGGAGGTATCAGGAGCCCTCTGTGAAGGCAGCTGAAAGGAAATCCCTGCAGATTGATGGGCTTGAGGCTCACCTCCCTGTTCCCAGAAAAAGCTTTCAACGTGAGGATGAACCTGATGTTCATTCTCTGGCATAATTCATTGAAAAACCCCTCTTGAGGGAGTTAACTCCAGAAATCCCAAGGGAACACTCAGGGTTCTTCCTGAATAAAGATGATGTCCTAGAGGCTGCTTGGTGTGGGATAGGGGTGATGGTCATCCAAGCATTTCCAGCTGAAAATTGTTTAAATTTCTCCCTTTTTTTCACCTTGTTCCTTTTGCAGCTTCATTTCTGTAGCTGTGGGAGCCCTTACAGCCTCTGGGTGATGAAGCTGCTGCTCACATTTCCCTCAAGGGCACTCTTGTTCATTCTTG